ATGAACGAAAGATTCGTATTCGAGCTTTGTGACGTTAGTGTGCGAAACGTCTCCCTAGATTTCGCCTCTGGTATTTTGAATGGTCTTCGGGAGTCGTCGATAATGAAGAAAACGATGAAGTTTAAGACAGAAAAGTAATAGTATAGTAATAGATAAGATGGTAATAATAAGATGATAAAAGCAGCCTCTGTTAGGAACAAGTAAAAACCATTGATCATACCGTTTCAGTTTTGTCCAATTCTGGCTTACTTGATACCGAATACACGACAGATCTTTTACCTCCATTGGCAGATCTGTACCGCCCTCGAAGTTCCAAACACATGTCCCAAGTGGTACGAATTCTCTCCAAAACCGGTAACATCTGTTGGACTCTATACAGTATTGCCCGACCAACTAATTCAAACGGATCGCACGATAGCAGCAAACCAACCTGATATTGAAGAAAAACTCGTGTCTACATGAAGATGTTGCTGTGCCTTGCGATGAAAATGTAAACGTCTTAAATGGACGTGTTTGGTAATCGAGATCAGCCGAATGTGGGGCATAAACGCACAGGTCGTACCGATAGTCATAGGAGCTCTGGGATTTGTTCCGCAAAATTTGTGTAAGAACTTGGCTAAACACCCAAGTCATTCAAGACTGGGAAGTGCAAGAAATTGCTTTATTTGGAAAATCCCACATTTTGCGCAAAGTCTTGTAGAGGCACCGGAAGTCACTAGATCTGCTCCTTAGGTTGCTGATTGCAACCTAAAGTAGATTTTATATTTACCAGACTCATAACATCTTAGTCCTGATGTATATAATAATAATAATAATAATAATAATAATAATAATAATAATAATAAACTATATTCCATCTTTTCAAAAACTCTTAAAAGGACACAAGCCAAACAAATAGCAAGGTACATTTTTATTAGCAAGGCATTATTACTTTCCTAATTATTGAAAGCCTACATTTCTTAAGCGACTCTATTATTTGTCATATTGTGGATATACTGTCCAATTTTATTGTACAACATTTCAATTTAATGATTTAAATAATGCTTTGAGAGCAGAGTTTCATGTTTGTTAGTGAATTGTTAATTTTTTTATTATAGTGACAAACTAGTAGAATTTTTAATTAAATGTGGCTATGTTTGAAAGATTTTTCAATTAAAGCTAAACCCGCATCAAACTTCTGATAATCAGGTTTCGAAATATTTTATCTTAACGATTTTTACTCATTAGTCGTACATTAAAATGTATTAATTATCCCTGGATACATGGCTGGTTTAACATGAGCCAAGAAACAATTAATGGACTCGATGATAATCATCATACTCATACGGTTTTCAGATTCAGGCTATTTAAGTTTAGCGAACACATGCAAATCAAAGGAGGGCAAACCAAAGGATGGCCCTGTCAGGCGCTGTCATGAGGCTAGAAAATAGGAACCTATACTGAGTGAAAAAAAGGATTGCTCATTTATTTTCATTCATTTACAATCATTTATTTATTAACAAAAAATGTAAAAAGGGATGTGAGATTGGGAGGGAAAGTGTAATATGAACGCCTTCTTGAAGTTGAGAAGGCGGAAGATTTATATATATATATATATATATATATATATATATATATATATATATATACATGTATATCAGTGAGCAATAAAAGTATCAAAAAGTGAGGTTCGCAACCTTTCAAAACTAGAAATCGGACGGAAAGTGTGGTTCACTAGCAAACGAACTGCTCATCAGATTTTATAGTATTCCTAAAAAGTGCCCTCCACGGATTAGTAGGGCCTACTCATCGCGCAACTGGCATTAGAGAGGTCAACAAACCGTGCGTACAGTGAAGCTACATACACGTCAGTGAACATTCATACACGTTTATTGCTCTATAATACAGCTCAGAGAGAATCGTGGTATGGTCAATCTGAAAATCTCAAAGTTGTGTCTTATGATTATCCCCCACGCACCCCGTCATTAACATAAGTCCATTAACCAAACTCAATTGTGTAAATTATTAATTTGAATTGTCAAAGTGGGTGACTTCTTGCGAAAACGAGATAAGCTACACCAGTCACAGCAAGTCCCTCGCTGTTCGTAAATGTTACTGTATCTATTTTGGTTGGATATCGTACGGGTTGTGTATCACATCTTGTTACTGCCCCTAGCCCTTACTAAATATGAACATGATACATTTAGTAAAATTAAGTAACCAGACATTCATAAAAATCGAAATATTAACGTGTACTAAAATCGGGAGGCTTGCTGTGGCTGGTTTGGCTTATCTTGTTATGTCCCAAGTCCTTCAAGTGATGGAATGGAATCCCCATAATAATTTGGGCAATAATAAAGTCACATGTAACTACGGATTACGCGATCTTGCTTGAGCAAATAATAGACTTCGTTAAGAGGTTTCAAAAGCATAATACTATTTGATTCATTCTGTAGTTTCCCCTTAATTTATTGGCCGTTAAATTAAAATGGAGAGTTATCTTCACAGGTACGATAATATAAGACATTTATGGACATTATGGCATTATGTGACATTATGGATTACCATTGCTTGGGTGGATTGAGAGGAGATTAATAAGTCCCATTTCTTCACCGGTCAAACTTGGGGCACTTGATTCCATTGTACACAAAATGAGTCTTAGAGCATGGGAGATAGTAAAAAGAAAAGCATTGATAATACAATTTTCGTGACTGGAGGCAGGATTTCTGACTTATAACTTAATGTAAGCAAATGTATGAATTCATTTATTCTTCAACTTCAAACTTTGTAAATGTATCTTTCATGGCAAACTCATTTTAAAATTGGTAACTTTTTTCGCACATGTTTGCAGGTTTTGGTAGTTTTGAGAAGAAATTCCTTCATAAGGCATGTTAGGTTTTTTTTTCAAATGACATTGCAGATTTACATTTCTATCTAGCATAATGAGTACTTTTTAATTATTTTAAAATAATTTGGAATATTAAAATTGACGCATATTTTGTACAAAAAGCACATTTTTCATTTTTAGATCCTAACTATTCTTGGCATATACTTGCCATATTTTCTTATTATTTAGGATTACCATATTTCAATTACGGAAAAATAAGATATTTCTTATAAAAAAAGAGGACTCTTCATATATAATGATTTTTTTATATTTAGATATAAAATTTGAATAATATTATTTGAAGGCATGTTTTAATTCTTTAATTAATTTTGAGTATAATTGTTATTGTCGACAGTAAAAAGTGGACCTTAAAAATAGTATGTTCGCCGCTGACGCAATGGAAATTCATTTAAAATTTCTTTTCCTCTTCCGTCGTTATTTCCTGCACTTTTGCGAGTGAAGCGGCTAACAAAGAGGAAGGATGTCCCAGCGCCTGCTGATGCTCAAATGTCTGCCGATTAGCCACTGCGAGTCTCGCAACGCAGCGCACCTTGTTAGCCGCAGACAGACGTCATGCTTGCATGAGCGCCCATTAAGGCGGACTTTTCCTTCTCTACACGCTTGGGAGGAGATCCTCGAAAGTAAAACTCTTCGAAATTGATTCGGCTTTGTTCGTATGTTCCCATAATTATTTTCCAACATAGCGCTGCGTTGATTGCATAGAAAATTGAATAAACAATGGTAGTAATGTGAGTTAGTGTTCAAATTGTCTACATGTGCAATTAAATTGTATCTCGCGGTCCTTTTTGAATTATTTTTATTCAAATATTTAAACTCATTGAAGTCACTGGAATAAACCACGGCAGCAGACCGCTAGAATTCACCTCCACACGGTGAATGAATTCGATTCAGCTGTTAAGCAAGTGTGGAAAATCCAGCCTCAACGGAACTAAAATGTTAGGACCTGACGATCAGCAACTACATGCGTAGAAAGAAGGCTGTGCAGGGTTGAAGTCTTTGATTACTTAACAAAACGTCACTATTTTATAGTATGGTTTCAATAAATTTTGATGATTCATATTTTCAGGCAAAATCCCTGGGTGGATTACAGCTAAAATTGTCAAGACAGACCAGTGTCATACTTATGATGTGTTGTACATTTTTACTTCCATTTAACTGAAATTAATTCCATATCAATACATCAATCTCTTATCAGTAAAGATATTAACTCAACGGTACAGTTCAAAAGGCAAATGGACTCAATACAGAGAAATGAGAGTTACATCAATAACGTACATTATAGCAGGAACACACGATGACACTCCGGGCAACTTATGATGTGCTCGAACCTCACGAGATGCACCTAACGCTCGATGAGTATCACAACACTGACCATCCCGAGGGAGAAACACGCACGTAGGCTGTACATTCGATTACAGTAATTCGTACTTGTGTGCTACCTATCAAATGGAAAAGTCTGAAAGTTAGCGCGTGATGGGATGGGACATGAGTTCCTTATCTGACATGATGGATCTGAATACTTCGTGATAAATGACTTCAACGTTCCTCATTCTATATCCTGACATGAAATGAGGAGTAGTTACCAGTAGATTCCGAAACGGACCATTGGAGACGTTTTGTAACACTGCGTGAAATTTTTCAGAAGCCTTTTGCAATTTTAGGTATGGTTATAGAGTACAATGTGTGACAGTTATTCATCTGAGAAATGCTATGAAGCAAAACAAATACATTGGTGAGTAGGTCAAAAATTAAAAATGATAAAAAACAAAACTTTTTAACTGAATTAAATTTTGTCAAATGTTCTATGATATCTCATTGTAGGATTTTTTACAACCATTTATATAAATATTTTATGAGGGCGACACCTCAAAGCTGTAATATATTTCAAAATTGCATTTTTCTGTTGGATTTTGAGTTATTTTATATTTACTATCTGCCTTTCTCGTTCGACATAAATTCCTATACATTTATATAATTCAAGAGGGTTATATTACAGAACGTCAAATAGGTAAAAACTACAAGAATATTTAGCTTGTAATTTTTTTAATAATAATAAATACAGATTTTTAGGTATAAGATTTTATTAATATTTTGAAATCGTGCATGACGTGATCTAGGAAGAAAGTCTTTCGGCGTATCGTTTGTTGTAAATTCCCTCAGGATCCCACTTGGCCTGCAGCTTCTCCCAGTCCTGCGGTCGGTTGTCTCGCAAGTGCTTGATCACCTTCTCAGATCCTTCTTTCTGCCTGTCGCTGCACTTGGCGCACTCATTCACGAGCGCATCCGGAATGGCCTCTGCGAACACGAACACAACTCATTAGACATACTTGCCTTGGTGTTTGGGTTGCTTGTTGATATTTGTAATGTAATCTTTGTTCTAAATATCCTCGAGATGATTTAGAAATCCATAAAAATGATTAGTTACACCCCTCTCATTTGTCTTGTATGTAATAAGAATTCTGAATTACTTGCATATTGATAAATTGAATCCAACAAAGTAATGCATAATCCAAAGATAAAGTAATTTTTTCCCTAAAAGATAAGTATAATTACAATAATATTAATGCAGTGATAATAATAAATACAATGGTGATGATAATGGTGGCTACATTCAAATTTGCAATACGCCTAAACCAAACATATGTATGAGAAATGAGTAAGAATGTCTACACGTATTGCAAGAAGATTTTCATGCCACAATATAATTTCATAGTTAGAATATAGTTAAGGGTAGAGCATTTCGGGTATTTATAGTTCGAGTATTTATAGTTCGGGTATTTATATGAAAATAACATTGAACCTTTTCTAACAAAACTTTAATTTACAAATGCTCAAAGTTCATAAATACAATAACTGGTGTTGATTAGAGAGGAGAAGTCATCAAAATGGAAATCATGTACATCTAAGAAACAAAATAAATCAATATGTAGGAAAAGTGGGAATGTGTTGAATACTCGGATTTTTTAATAATATATTTGGGCAATTGTACACGTACTAGTATACTGTAAATTTCCATTTGTGTATGAAGTAGAAAAATTTAAAACTATATTACACTATTTGAAGATATTGTTAATAAGCATGCAAATTTTCAAAATGTTAATTGTAGTAAAAAAATCATACTATGAAATTAAGAACAACAGAACTCCTGTTTACAAAAATGTATTAGCAAATGTTTTTTTAACATAATTTTTATATCAAGAATATCAAGACTCCAGAAATACCCTAATATTTGAAGATATAACATATTAATTAGTTCAATCTGTAAAAGGGGTGAAAAGCAAAACTGTGATAAGTATATGGGTGTAGAAAACTTGTGAAGATTGTTGTATGGCCGAATTCTAAAAAAATAAATTTAGAAGGAAATGATCAACATTGAAGAACAGATCGGCATTAGCACCGTAAGATCATGTGTATGTTGCACATTGGTATTAAGACAACCAATCTCACTGAGACAAAAATATTAGACAGAAATTTAAAAGAACCACATAATAATGATTCACATAGAGAAGGTTTATTCATGTAGAGAAGATGTAAGAATCACTTTGTGAACAGTTTGAAGTACTCCTTAAGAGTGGGATAGATAAGATATACATGAAGATATTCATGAAGATATACTAACCATCTTTATGAACACTAAAAGAATAATATCTAGTGGTGCTACAAAATGGCACAGACTTTCGCGTATTCGTTTTCTATTTCCTTTCGTCTCGGCTAGCTATACGAACTTGCCACATACTATTGCCAGCTACCATCTATTGCCGCCCAAAATACATTATTTTTGAAAATTTCTTAATTTTTTCGTTTCCTAATAATATAACAGAAATATTGTTTTATAAATATTAAAGAAAAACCTCGTCCTAAATGGCAATTGTCTTTGAAAAAGTTTAAGCTGTTTTAAAGAAAATGGCGTTTGAACGTTTCTGAAAATGCGGAATTTTGAGCTAGTTTTCACGAGAAACGGTCGAGTTTTCGAAAAACTGTATGACATTATTTAAAGAACATGTACTCATAAATATAATAATTTGAACAAATTGCTGCGAATATAAATATTAACAACTCGAGAGACAACACAAAAAATACATTTTTGTAATTTTTGAAACAATAAAAGAATAATGTAGTAAGACGTTTATTTCATCTTATAGAGTACTTTTGGCATTATTTCTAGCAAAAGTTTAAAAAAATTGTAGCCGTTTTGAGAAAATCATGTTTTTGTAATTTTTTAAAGTTAAAAATATTACACGCAATATTTCGTGAAAACTACTCAAATTTTCAAAAAAATGTACTTGACTTCACTAAAAAAAGAAATTTAGGGACAACAAATTTCATTTGAACAATCTCTATCTTTGATTTTGTAGTTGTAAGAAGACATCGACAAAAATTGTTTGAAATTACTTTTGAAATACTTCTGAAATTTTCGAAAATTCAGAGTTAACCGTGAAAAGCGGACCTCTGCCACTTTTATAAGTGTATGATACTCTATTGTTACAAGAAATTTAAATGAAAAAAATTGGAGCCGTTTTTGAGAAAGTTTTGAAAATGTCCTGAGGGTTTCATGTAAAGTACCTCCAAATTTTAAAGAATGTATTTCAAAATCTCAAAGCTTCGATTCGACCTAGATGGACAGGAGTTTCTTCAATTTGGAAAAAAATCATACGCATGGTTTAGGTACTAGTACGAATAGTGATCCCAGTCGGACAGGCAGACGGACGGACAAACGGACGTTTGGTCGTCAATTGATTTTTCCGTATCAAGGACCCACAAAACTGAATTCTTGCTACACCACATTTTAGAGTATGTTTCCCCTTAATTTAGCAATTTAATTTATTCATTATTTTATTATCGGGGCGAGGCAAAGAATTTTTTCTGCCGAAAATCCGCCGTTTATTCGCGCAGCATTACATAACTTTCCCTAAACCTCGTGTATTACTCCGTGTATACGTATGTATATGTGAAAGTAAAAAATGGGTATAGAAAGATGGTAATTTGAAATTACGAAAGGTCAAAAGCAAGGAATATGCATGTTACCACCTTTATTTAAAATATATATACAGGGTAAACTAGAAAGCTGGAAGAAAAAGTGTAAATGTAAGTGTATACAAATAAACAGAAGATGTTTACACTTTGGTTTGCAGATGATTAGGTAGTATGTAGTGACAAATGATGAAGATAATGCGCACGTGATGAAATTAATTGAAGAATACAAGTGGGATTTGAACATCAATATGAGGAAGAAACAACCTCCCAATACGAAAAATGGGGAGAGATCTCCAGGTATCTCTAGTGTTATAATTACAAAATGTAAACTAGTGGAGGTACACAATGGCACAGACTTTCCCGTATTAGTTTACTACTTCCTTTTGTCTCGAGCAGCTAAGCCACATATACTTTTGCCTGCTGCCATCTACCGCCACCCAAAGTACATTTTTTTGAAATTTTCTTAATTTTTCGGTTTTCTAATAGTACAACAGAAATATATTTTAAGAATATTCAAGAACAGTGAAACCTTGTCATTATTGGCAGTTTTCTTTGAAAACTTTGGAGCCTTTGTATAGAAAATGGGGCTTAAGCTCTCCTGTAAATTTAAGATTTTAAGCTCTTTTTGAAAGACAATTTTTGAGTTTTCGATAAACTTCATTAGAAGTCATTTGAAAAATATTGACTCACAAATACAGTAGTGTTTACAAATTCTTGGAAATGTGCACATTACAGGCGTGAGAGATCATTCAAAAAATTAAATTTCTGTAATTCTTGAAAAAACAAAAGAATACCCCGAAATGAGCTTTATCTCATATTAAAGAGTATAGTTACTACTATCCTTTTGAAAATATTGATGAAAACATTTAGAACCGTTCTTGAGAAAATGGCGTTTAAGCGTTTCTGAAAATGCGGAATTTTGAGTCAGTTTTCACAGAAAACGGTTGAGTTTTCAAGAAACTTTATATGACATTATTTAAAGTACAGGTACTTATAAATACAATTATGCGAACAAATCGCTAATATAAATATTAACGATGGGAGAGACAAGTAAAAAAAAATGTTTGTAATTTTGAAGAAAAAACAAACAAACAAAAGAATAGAGAAATATGGCATTTCAAAATTTTCAAAAAATTGCATATGACCGTACAAAAATAACAAATTATGGACAGCGAATTTAATGTGAACGAAAATTCTTAACCGTGAAGTACAAACGAACATAGGGTTAAACGTGAAGATCGGCCCTATGCCATTTTTATAAGTGTATGGTACTCTATTGTTACAAGAAATTTAAAGAAAAAAATTGGAGCCGTTTTTGAGACTGTTTTGAAAATGTCCAGAGGGCTTTATGTAAAGTACCCTCAAATTTTAAAGAATGTTTTTCAAAATCTCACAGCTTCGACTCGAACCAGATAGATAGGGGCTTCTTCAATTTGGAAAAAAATACTACTCATGGTTTAGGCGCTAGTAGTGTTCACAGACGGACGTTCAGACGCACGGACGGACGAATGATTTGAAGAAAACAACTTTTTTGGTATCTTGGGACCCCAAAGCGTGTATTTTCGTTGACATCACGAAATCGATTTTCCGCAGTATTACATAACTTTCCCTATACTACTCCGTATACGTATGTATACGGAAAAGTAAAAATATACATCTTGGAAGCATCATCAATCAAGAAAGGTCATGTGAAGGTGACATATGTCACCGAGGAAATCTGGCTAGAAGCACTATATAACTCCCAAATCCGCCGGTCTGAATGGCCGAGATCGCTGAGAGCGCCTTCCCATGTCGCGAAGGCAGCGCGCTTCCCTCAAAACTCTCGCTACGCGAAGCGGAGGAGGGGGTACGCGCCACCGCTAGCAGAATACAGCATTAAATGGTAGCCTTCCCACTGCGGCCGCCGGTCGCTGCGTTTTACCTGCTGCGGTCCCTTTGTTCGACGTCGCCGGAGGGTCGGCGAAGAGCCCTGCCGATTGACGTACGCGCGCTGCCGTGGCGGCGTGGGAAGGCGCCCTAAGGCAGTAGCGATCTCGGACTGAAGGATCGCGGGTTCGAGTCCCACCTCGAGCATGGTTGTATTCTGTTCATCCTTTCATCCCCTATCATCATCATCATCATCATCATCATCATAGCTTATTATTCTCATAGTAACCACACCGCTACACGCAATAGTGGTCGCTAACGACTTCGAGGTTGATGCGACCTTAAATTTAAAAAAAAGTTCTAAATCCATTGCTTTGGTCATCAAAGATTTGGCGGGAAACTAAAACGTTCAAGTTCTTTGCCACCGTTTGAGCCCATCATAAAGTACGGAGCATGATGTTGAAATCTCAAGGAGGAAACCAGGAAAAATATTGAAGCTGTAGGAATGAATTTCGTGAGAAGAGCTTCCGGTCTATCCGGTCTTGAACAAATCACCAATGAAGAAACTAGTGATGCTACAAAATAACGTTCTTTCATTGATTCTAAATTTTCAGTTGTTTAGAAAATTCAGAATTCAATGAATATGAGACCAATGCCATTATTTTAAGTGTAAAAAATGGGAAAAAAATTGAGAGTAATTTTAAAAAATTTAAAATTGCCTAAATTTCGTGAAAGTTACATGAAAATTACTTATATTTTTGAAAAATAGACCCTGACCTTATTTCAAGATCTGTCTGTAAAGATGAGATTTCATTAAGCGAAAAAAATGCATGAACTCTTTTTATCAGTATTATAAATTTCACTTTGAGTTATTTCATCTACTATATTTCAAATTTTAGTAGCCAGCGTGTAAGTGTGCATCAGATCATTTGAATTGTTCCAACACTCGTAAACCAGAATTTCCCTAGAAATGCATAACTACTATGTACAATTTTATACAATCAAAACCATTATATAATTGCTTTATAATTTTTAAAAACCATTATTAAATAATTGTATTCTATGTTACGCAATTGTAGTTAGGGACAAGGGTCAGTTCCTTTTCTGGGTTTCAGTTAAAAGGGTTAGTGCGTTAGGTGTTCTCTAATTGGCCCGAGCCGGAAAAACATGCCCTGAGGATTTAGAAGGATGTTTTGATTTTTGGTACTATATAAAAAGTCTTGCAGGTTTCCAAAATTTATAAAAAATGACTCCAACTTTTTTTATTCATTTTTTTCTCACAGAGTTCGAAGAACGCTTAAAAATTCAAATTTACAGTTATGGGATGATCTGTAAAAAAGTTAGAAAAGTTCTGCATAGTCACGATTTCAAAAATAGAAAAACCCAAAAATATAGTTTCATTTCGTTCTGTATAAAGTCTCGACCAATGATATGAGGGAAGTATATACACTCTGGAACAATACAATCACTATTCACTGCAAGCACGTAGTTGAACATGTTTATGTAAACGTAACGGAAATGTTTTATATTTAGCAAGATCTGAACCAATATGCTATAGAAAAATATGGCAAAGAAATCCCCCTGTTCACCTTATCGTAAAAAAGTAATGCATCTACACTTGTAATTAAAATCAGTGAAATATTTTTGTGAAAGGACACTTGTGTTAGACGATAACTGGACATTGAGTTTACATACTACATCTCAACAAACACTTCTATTATAATATTTGCATTGAAAAACACTCTCTCAATTTAAAATCATTATATTAACATCTCTAAAAATGGACGTTTACTCACATATTGCTTGAACAAGAAATATCGAATGCTTTCAATTGATCGATTAAAATTCACACAATTAGTAATAAACAAATGAAGGTAGATAGAGTTCATTCTCTTAAATTTAATATTTTAATAAAATTTAGTGTTTATCCCATAAAAGAGGTTAATAATAACAAGTGATTAGCCCATTCTCTTTCATATAAAGTAAAAATCACGAAATTCAGTTGAATGAAGATTTCAAACTTCGTTCTAAATAAAAATCGCTAGTACATTAAATATAAATATTTTTGTAGTTTTCAAAATGTCAGAGGTTTTAATGAAAATCGCAGTTGTATCATACATATCAAAGCGCATTCTTCTAAGAGCCTAAAAATAAGAAAAATAAAAAAATTCAGCCATTTCCCAGTAAATATTAAAAATGAACTTCTCCCATGTCAATCTTAACTATCTTTGGAACAGCAGTGTTTGAGATGTTAATACTGACGTGTGTTCAGAGTTACAAATGAAAATAATTTTAAGCACAAATTTTTACGACCAACAATTCAAGATCGTTAGGGGTCACCAATACTTTTCCTCTTTATACTAATGTTTAGGTAAAAAATAAACCTTTAAATAATGTCAGGTATAATCTTTTAAAAATATGAATAGTTTTCTCGTATTTTTTTCCTTGATATAATTACAAATACTCGTATTTTCTAAAAAACGATTCCAAACTTTAAAAAAATAATATAGCAAAGAACGCTTAAAAAATGGTCTGGATCCCATTTTTTCCGCATTTTCACATTTTCTGCATTCTGAACTCTCTGCATTTTTAATAATAGCAAAAAATAAACTTTGCAATATTACAATATTGATAATAGAGATTTTGCCTTTAATGATATCTTTTCTTTCAAACTAGATCTGGAAGTAATGTCCATGAAAATCTCTGATTTTTTGAACATTGTAAATGCTAATGTTCAACTTCATTTCACAAGCGTCGGGAAGGTAGAGTTTAGTTGTGAGGTTGGTAGTGTAAGTGGAACGTGAATAGTGTGATAAATCTCACAAGTTTGAATTCTAGAGTAGAAAGAAAATCTCGTTAGAAACACGTTCGAGTATTATTACAATATTGCATATACGTTGCAAATAAAATGAGAAAGTATTACTGTTATAGCACAATTAGTTGTATGTCTATTGCTCGATAGAGAGGATGAGATCCAGATAACGTTTCAGTAAAATGTATGGTTGACTGAGGAGTGGAATACGCCTTCTCATTATCGAGCAACAACATTATCACAAACTACTTACTTCTGAGCTCCTTGCCGTCAGCAGTGCAGTGGCTGTCGTTGTCGGCCAGCAGGCATTCCAGATATTTCTTAAATAGCCGCTCGTTCCTCAGGATCTCGTCCAAGTTGACGTTGTCGTATTTGGTGGTGAACTTCTCTTCGGAGGGCGCGCAGGTGGCCGTCCCCAAGAAGGCGGTGAGCGCCACAAACAGAGCAAGTCCCGTGTTCATTGTTGAGCGTTGAGGGCGACTTCGTGCGAGGCACGAGGCGGCGTGGGCAGAAGACGAATGGTGGCGGGTGCCGCTGCGGCTTCCTTTTATACCGACGCGGATTTGCTAATACAATTTGCGAAATATGTTCGTCCTGTCGCTCTCTACCCTCTCCTCTCTCGGTCTCCACCTTGCCCTTGCTGTGACCGCCTACTGTCAATGACTGTCTTCCGGAGGCATGTGAAGCCCGGCAAGGACGCACTCTCGGAATTCGCATGGCACTGCGAACGACTGAGTCAAGAGTCGTCAAGTTATTCGCTCCCAGAAACGACATTAACACGTTCTTATTTATTCACGAGTACATAATAACTTTAGATCAAATTTATACAGTCTAAAGGATTTGGTTTATTTATTCCGATAACTCTTGGGATTTTTTTCGCAATAAGAATATATTTTTCTTTCTGTTATGAAAGAGCAGTCTAGCAGGTGGAAGTTGTCGTTTTTATCCTATAAATCAAAACGACCTTAATTACTGTATTCCAAAATTCTTTCACGTTGCACATAAACCATGATTATGGTCATCATTTATTTTTCAGAAATGTCAGAATACTTGTTCGGCAGTGGCGTCTCATCATGAAATATATGTCATAAGACGATATTTACTTTCTCGTATATGTACATGTATATATGAGGTTATATATGTGGGGTGATGTGTGTAGTATAGAGAAAGTTATGTAAAGTTGCCGAAAATCGATTTCAAGATTGCGGCGGACATTCACCCTTTGGAGTCACCAGACACCGAAAAAGTAGTGTTTTCCCCCTTCAGTCTGTGTGTCTGTCCGTCCGTCTGTTCGTCCGTTTGTCCGTCCGTTTGTCCGTCAGTTTGTCGTCACTGAACATCACTAGCCCCTAAACTATGCATTGAATTGTATCCAAAGTGAATACTACTCAGTCAACAGACACCATTCAAAAATCGGCGATTTTGAGTAACATCAATTAATTTTTGGGACTATTTTGCATGAATCCTCTGGGGTATTTTCAAAAGTTTCTCCAAAACGACTCCAAATTTTTAAAAATATTCTCTAACCATATCCCTATCAATAAACGGTATAAAAAGTGGAGCTGGTCGCATTTTCGGCCATCTCTTAGTATTTTCGAAATTTGCAAAATGTTAACATTGCAAAACTACAAATTGAAGAGAGGGATTTTTGTCTTTAAAAAATGTGTTCCAAAGATCTGATCTTGGAATAATACATCGCACACGTTTTGAAAAAGGGAGTAGTTTACGCGTATTTTCTTTTTGAATTAAATAAATTTATAAAAAACCTATTCTAAACACCGCTCCAAATTTTTGCTTTAAAATTTCCCCCCGGATATAGCAAAGAATGGTAAAGAAAATGGTGCTAGTCCCAGTTCTGGAGCTTTATCTATTTTCGAAAACTGAGAAAGTACAATATTGACGTTGGATATTTTTTGTTAAATGAAATATTTTCTGAAAGTAAGATCTTTAAAAAAGTTAGTAAATCTTCTTTTAAAATGAAAATAGATTAGCATAATTTTGCAAATTCGAATTTCCTGCACTTCTTTTGCTTGACACTTTCAGAAGTTATTACGTTGTAATACAGCAATGGGAAGAGCGCGACATGGCAGTTTCAAATTCTCAGAACGAAATTGAGTTGATGTGTTATTTTTAAATAAATTGAATATTTGCGCTTAATGTGCTACTATTGGTAATGAATTATTAAAGTGTTGGTTGACATGATTTAATGTGAACAGAAATTGTGGTATTAAAGTTTTAGGCCCAGTGGTGGCTGGTGCCCAACAGACTAAAGATTGCACTTTCATCGAATGAGGGAAATGTAATTTCCAAAATTCAGAACAGGAAAATATTATAAAAATGTAAACAATTCAAAGTAATTAAAACTAAATTAAGTGAAAGTTTATATTGAATCATTACACAATTTTATGCGTTGTGTCCGAGTCGTACTTCCCGCGCACGTGGTGTTGGCTTTGATTTCCACTGGACACTTACGTTCGACTCCAACACATCGCAACAAGCACTATGGCTTCGACACGTTTCTCACAAATAAAATTATTTATTTTAAACATATCACTATCCTGGTATATTTTGTAACATTCTTTCACACACACGCTCATATTCCACCAGCGCACTCCGTGTTGTAACTGCAGCCTGCTGCAACTACCGAGAAAGGGACTTCCTACCAGATTGGCCAACTTTACACCAAGATTTCAACAGGTGTACATATTAAATCAGTAAATCTAATATCAAATTCTCTAAACACCGTAAATAATGCATTAAATACCGTTAATAATTGACTGAACTTGTATACTTTCAATGAAAAGCAAAATTCATAAAATTACTTTGCAGTGAGGCAGACGAAGATAGAATTTTGGTATTCCCCTGAAACTCCCTCCGTCGCCGCGCAGCGCTAGAGCGCCACCTGTCTGGTTGCCCAACCTAGATTCTCTGTATTGCTAGAGTTAAATCGAAGAGTCAAAAAGTGAAAATGCAGTAAACCCAGTAATACAGCCAAGATCCGAGAGCGTGGTGCAATACCTGGCAAGGCACCAAGCACCTGGTAGCCGCAGTTGGACGGTCTTTCGTTTCAGAACGATTTTTTATGCATCGATATTGCTGGAATATCTTGAATATTGAATGTCATTAAAAAGAAAATGCATATCCCTAAGATATTAAGAGATCTTTTTCGATCATATCTAGGAGTTGTGCAACTGTGCAACCTAAGCACGAGCCACCACTATTTAGGTAACCGTTACTGATGCGAGAAAATACGTGCTGTTGTAGCTAGTTTGTTGGTTGTACTTAGTTTGATACGCTCAGTTGAGCATCACTGGAGATGTCATCTCTCAGCGAAATGCGTTCTTTGGTGACTTACCTAATTACAATATCGTACCTAAGAATAATATTTTAAGAATCGATCCAAATAATTTTGAAAAGCAGTTGAGCCAAAAATATTGAATTTCAAAGAACCCGCGATATTTACTTTCTGCACGATTGTAATTAAATTCACAATGCATTAAATTTTCATAAGAGAATATTAATGCAAATAATATTTACAAAAGGACATTTTAAGTGTACTTTTCTTGCATTCTAGTTACAAAAATACATTAATATCATGTGGACATTCAACAGTTTGCAGAATGAAGAGAATAATACAGAGTAAAACGGCTCGAGCACAAGTTAGCTAATATTTGACAAATAAATGTTTATAATTTATATGTGTTAATCATGAGCGTCAAAAAATCACTTTCATATCTGAATAGACAATATCAGCGCTCTTTCTTCTGCAATATTCTGCTCAGCAAGATGAGATAATAGTGGGTACTTTTGAATTAACCATCTGTGTAATTCATGTCGATAATTTAGGCGGGATGTATCGCAAATGCGAAAATATGATCTCATGATATTTTCGTTGAGATTATTAGTCCATCGAACTCCCCGTCGTGGCACACCTATCTCGGGGACCCCAGTGACGTCTGGGAATCGTTGTGTCCACGAGTAGCTAATAGATCGTGCTCACTATTTACGCCAGCTGCAGTAGTTTCGGCTCTCTCGGTGTGTGCACTACTCTTCAACGTCACAACTCAAACAGCTCGCATACTCTCACAGCCAACGTGTGCCCCTTGTATGATTTGGCCGCGGCTTTGGTCCAAGGCACAGTCCTAGTCTTCTCTCCGTATACAAATGGCATTTTGTCATGATACCATTTGAGAACCATTTGAGATTTCTCCTGAACTTAATTTCGTGTTTTTTCCTTTTAATGAAAGATAGAGACCTCTGATGTGTTTTCTCATTTTATTAACTCCTTTTCTAGTAAAATCACTAAATTTATATATTAAAATAAAAATATTAAAATTAAAATATTAAAATTAATAGAACCTTATCTAGAGTAATTTGTTCGTTACGTGAATTGGTTGTACGAATTGCAATCAGTCTTTCAAAAACAGTTGACATTTCGTCGTCTACCGTTAGCAAGTGCGTGAGTGTTAGGTTTTAATTAGAGAAGCGAAGGCAGCGATATTTCTGTTCGTAGATTGAGTGTTTTTCAATGAAACTATTATTGTGTTATATAAAAACAATGTCTAGCAATTGCTTGACATATGTATCCCTTAAAGAAAAAAACATGGTTTATAATATGAACCATATATGTTCGTGTGATTGTAAATATAAAATATTTCAATTACGTTTTCAGAATCACTTTTAATTCCTGTGTTCACAGTAATAGTGGTTGTGTTATCCAGAATTTGTAATTATCCATTATGTCATTAGTCTTGGAGAGTAAGTATTGAAGGGAAATTTGCTCTCACATCACATAAGTGGTGTGCTACAATTCATGGAACGCTTGTGCGATGTCGAAAAATAGTAAATGTTTTGTGCTTCTGCTACATGTTCAGCTATCTAAGAATTTGAAGAATTGTTGTTTTAATGCAAATTGTGTAGATAGAATTGTGCAAATTTCTGTAACAAATTTTGTTAATATTTTTAATATTCGTTTTATGAAAAGTTTAATGGAGAAATTGCTAGAGGAATATTTGGGTTTTCTCCTGTTTACTGGAAGTGTTACTGCAGTTTACCAAGTATTGGGAACAACTTTTGTCCATGATTGTTATTATTAAATATTTATGAGATTTCTGGAATTCTATAAATTCTTTGAGAATTTGGATTCCTAATGCTTTCTATATCTTTAATGTTTGTATTTATACTTTTACATCGAATAATGCAATAAAATTAAAAATTTATCGAATGAAATAGAAAATTAATGTAATCAATTTATTGGTTGACGGTGATGTTCACTGATAGGTTGGGATAGAAAGTGGATTAAATATAGTCTGCATTAACAATTGTTTTTTCGAGATCTAAATTAGCTGGATTTGATTCATCTGACGCGATTATGCCATTTTAAACTCTGTTTTGATATCGATATATAACATGCGGCAAGATCAATTTGTTTGAAATGTTATTGTTTATTTAAATGCTTGAT